ACTCGAGTTTAACACGTGTTTTTTTGAAATTAAATTTTTTTGAAATTAAATTTTTTTGATTTAAATGTCGCATACCCTTTATCAATGGTTTCACATTCTTTACGGAAAGTTATTATAATATAATACTACGTTTCCGTAACGGTGGAACCATTAATATTTAACTGGTATTTGTGGTAAATAGTAAGTTAGTTTCACAGAATTAAAACCATTTTTGACACGTGTTATTCTTTTCGTTTTAGAAGGTTTTAAACACGCAACAGAAACCAAGCGTAACTTTTTTCTGAGTTGTTTCGATGTAGTATGAGATTTTTACTCCCAAGTTTTTTTTACTCCCAGGAAAAATCTCATATAAAATATTTACCACATAGTTAAAAAAGGTATGAAGTTTTTATTCTTTCAATTTTGTTTTTACTCTTATGCTATTATAAGCGGAGTTATATATAAACAAAATATGCACGCTAGATTAGTACACCTTTAATTATTTAAAATAACTTTTAAGTAAAGTTTTAGGTAAAGGTGATAAAGCTAATTTTAGAAGACAAAACGAAGCCATTTATTATTCATAATAATGAATTATATCGTGTATATAAAAACGAAAAGGTAAATTTTATTTTATTAATGTTTAAAATAATTTTGTCATATTTATCTTGTTACAACAAGATGAACACAAGTTACTGAATGTTTTAAGTAAATAGAAATTTTAAAAACCTCCTTATCTGGTTTAACTATTTTTGTTTAATACTTTTTAGTTTTGATTCTCATACTATTTATGGCTTTTTCAGTGAAAAGTTATTTGGAGCAGAGATGAACAACAAAACATAATAAAGTTTATTCATGAAGGAAACGATTTCTCTGTTGATTCTATAGGTTTATATGGTCATATAAGTATAAATAACACTCTCCAACACATCCAAAGTCGATTTTTTTAGTATGCAATGATAAAAGATATTATAATCTATGTTTTGCAATGTCAAAAGTCGAAAAAAATTGAAAACTTCAGTCAAACATTGCTGCAAAATATTATTATTGCAAAAGGCAATATGAAGCAATTAGGAATCGATATAACTACAAGAAGTTAATGGTTACAGGTATCTGGTTGTATTAGTAAACTACTTTAGTAAATGGGTTGAAGCAGAAGTATTTAATTATAAAACTGCTAGATTAGTGTCCTTTTTTAAGTATAAACAGATTTTTCTACATAGTTGTTTTGAAATACAAATAAATTATCTAGGTCGTGAGTTTGTTAATGAAATTTCTAAACAACTTCAATCAAAAACAGGAACAATTCATAAAATTACGAATGCATATCATGCTCAAGCTAATGAATTAATTAAACGACATAATTAAATAATAAAGCGTACATTAGTTAAGGCGCTGGATTAATCTGCTCTAGAATGGGCTTTTATTATTGATAGTATTTTGTTTTCGTTTAGAGTTAAGAAACACAAGTCTACTGGTTTTCAACATTTTTCTTGCTTAACTAAAGGGATACCATTGATCTAGGTTGCAATTAATAGATTTTAATGATATGATGCTCTTAGCAATCATGATTCTAACAACAAAAAAATGCTTCATGTGATGAATAAAATAAAGAATGAACTTTTTGATAAAGCTTGTCAAAATATTGTGAAATCTCTAAAAAGGCAAAAATGTAATTGTGACAGGAGAATTGCTTCAAGTTCTGAAATTAGCATAAATCAAAAAGTATTGCTAAGAAATATCTTATATATAAACAGTGCCGGACCGTACTATAAGGCAAATAAGGCAGCCGCCTAGGGCCCCCAACGTTTAAGGGGTCCCAAAAAAGTTGAAAATGAAGAAATTAAAATTAAAAAAATACATTACTTTTTAATTTTGAGGAAACATGCAATAAATTTCAAAATTAATTAAATTTATTTTCGCGTAGTCAGTCGCGTAGTAAATTTAAGAAAAATAAATATATATATATATGTGTGTGTGTGTGTGGGGGGGGGGGGGGCTCCACATGCATGTTTCCCTAGGGTCCCCAAATTGCTCTGTCCGGCACTGTATATAAATCATCATATAAATTTGTAATTTTTTCAATTGTATGGTTAAATAAATGGATAAGAAAACAAAAAGTAATAAGAAGTTACGTAGGGGAAAGTCGTACAGCTTAAACTAAAGAAGCTATGTGACTTTTAATACTATAAAAACATTATTTGAGTAAAAATATGGCATATGCAAAATATCTATTATAATTTAACGAAGCAAATGACTGGGAGGGCAAGATTTTGTTTCCCACCACCAGAAGTAATATACCTAATTTTTATGTAAACTAATAACTTTTTAATGATTAAAGATGCATTTTTATTTACAACAGTTATTAAAAAAAAAAATTCGTTTAAAACATTAATTCACTGGTTTTAAAACTAGTATTTGTGAATGAGGTATGATCGGGTGGTATCGGACACATGTTTGGAGGGTGGCTCCGGACAACTTAATTCGTTTACATATTGATAATAAACAACTTTTTTTATATAAATATTAATACATTTAATATAATACACAAATCTATAATAGCTATTCATTTAATTCCAATAAAAAAAACATTAGATTTGAAAAAGGTGTTTTTAAAGTGTTTATTTTCATTATAAAAAAGCTTGTGTTTATATTTTTAAATGATGACATTTTCAATCTCATTCTTTATATATCAGAGGCAATTTTTAAAGGTGATTTTTTTAAAAATGCGTCGAAAACAGTCCAATGCTAAATTATTATATATTACATTTGTGTGACACTGGTAAAAAAGAGGTAAAATTATGGTTAAACTATATGTCCGAGGTTACCCTCCAATTTTGAAACATGCCGTTTTTCTATTATGTTTTGTATATTATTAAAATACACAATAACTATTTTTTTGTTTCTAATTCGATGGATGAATGTTTGAACTTTTAAAAAAAGTCTTTTTGACACTTTGTTTTCTGTTAGCACATGCGTAGAATCTATAATTTCCTGAAGTGTCCGGGGCTACCCGACTCTCCCCTATGTCTAACTTCATTACAATGCGTTTTTAGATTTAAAAAGAAAGGACGAGATTAGAATAACAATCAAATATGTATTTTTTAATAAGATGGATAAAAAATTTATGGAGATTTATGAATAAAAAATGTCAAGAGAGCCATTTACGATCCACTCTCGTATGATACTTAATATCATTTTGTAAAGTCTCATTTTATTTAAAATCATTTAAAATCACCTATGAATTTACAAAATTAGGTTCGGTGTCACTCGTATAGTTAAAAACTAGTCTCTGGTCGTGACAAAAAAACAATTCATTGAGTGAAAAAAATCAACGACTAACTTTGAGATGGTTTATTTATTTTATGAGAGGTCAGTCGTGAAAGATAATAGAATAAGATATTAAGAAATTAGTAAGAGTGTTGCCATTAATCAATATAGAAATATCGAATTCAGCAGCCACTGCAAGTCCTATGCTGCCACAGAAAAGATATCACATTCAAGATCAGCTGCATGTTCTAAACAATCAAGTTGATAGCTTTTTGTCAAAACTGGAGTATATAGTCGTGTCATCCGCAAATAGAGCAACTTTAAAGGTAAAATTATCAGGAAGATCATATAGATGAGAAAAACAAAGGACTAAGGATAGAACTTTGTGGTACCCCAGAGAATACTGGATATGAAGAGGAGTAATGAAAAAAGGTTTAATAGTTTTAAAACTCTTGCAGATACCCCAAATAAATAAAAATCACAAAGAAGAACAGCATGTCAGAAATTATGGAAAGCTTTTCATATGTCAAAAGGAATAGCACTTGCATCACAGCTTCCATTTAATGCAAAAAAAAAAGAAATTTTCTGTTGGTACAGCTAACACGTCAACAGTAGAACAAGAAGTTTCGATTGAATAAGTTATATTCGATTGAATAAGATATAAGATATTAGAGATTTATTAAAGATTTAGCTAAAAATTATAAGACCGATTGAACGATATTTATTAATTAAAGATTTAGCTAAAAATTATAAGACCGATTGAACGATATTTAAGAACAAGTTCAAGAGAGAGATTTAAGAACAATTTCAATTTTCCAGCAAGTTGGGAAAAAGATTCAGTTAAGAGCCTGTTAATCAGCCTTAAAAAAAATGCAAAAAGTACCTATTTACAATCTTACATCAGTATTATATAAATAATTACGTCGGTAACTTATACAATATAATTTTATAATATGAATAAATTATGCAAACATTTATGTAATATAAACAACATTTTAAAATAATATAGAAAACTACGATAATTGTAGTATTCAATATCTAGAAATTCAATATCTTTTAATATTCCGAATAATATAACAAAAGCTATCCTTTTTTGGAAAAAAATAAAACAAAATAACAATCATAATTTAAAACTGACATATATGTAAACTTTTTTTAACTTGATTTCCTAAAATTACCATCAAAGCAATAAAAAAATTCTTAACATAAAATATCTTTTCCAAGTGAACATTGGATTATTTTATTCTTTAGCATATGCGATGGAATGTTTTTATCAACATCAAACGCTTTTCCATTTTTTGTTTTGTCAATCATTTGAAACGGCACGATCGAACAATTTCGAATACCCAAAAATCGTCTCCTGAAAGTGTGATAAAACTATTTTAACTATAAAAACCTTAACACGTTAGCTCCTCCCTATCCCAAATGTGAGATCAAAAGATTGAAACATTTTTCATTTTAAAACAAAACTTTTGTTTATTTAAGGTATCAAACTTCAAGCAGCTTGCAAAGGCTTAACACTACGGTCGTGCGTGACACAGTCCTTTGTCTTTAAAAACGCCTATTCTCGAGTCCCTAATACACGGGGAAGGGGGGCGACGTTTATAAATTTTTGGAAAACTTTCCCACCCACCCCAAGCTTATTTAGACCCCCTCGTTTATTAATTTTTACTTGCTATCTAAAAAAAAAAAAAAAAAAAAAAAAAAAAAAAAAAAAAAATGAAAATCGGTCTTAAAAATTAGAAAATATTTATCAGTCACTAATAAAAACAAAATTTTTCAGTGTTAACAGGCTTTAAAAATCACCAACCAAGTAAATCCCGATTTATCGAAAATGAACTTTTAATTTATTTCTCTCCAAAGTATAAAACTTATTAAATCCTATTAAAATTATTATAAAACCGCTGTTAGAAAATGCGCATTTAACCGCAAGCTACGCTAAATTTAAATAGTTTTATGAGTGTTTTGTAAAAAATATTAGTTTGGATTTATAAACTAAAATTAAAAAAAAAAAAAAAAACTTATATTGTATCATAAAAAAATTGCCCCTTCCCCCTTATATTAAATCTGGGGTAAAATTACCACCTCCCTTATATTAAGGACTCGTAGCTGTTATAGCCTAGTGCGCGAGGTCAAGGCTATTTGGAGTCCAATTGTTAATGGCAATTAAATCAGGGAAATTGTCAAGACAGAAGTCCTCTGTCAGTTTCGTTTTGTGCTGGTGGTGAGTTCTTTTTTAGGGTCCACAACCCGCTAGAAAACATTGCTGGGACCGACTCATTACGCAGCGGCTTGAGGACTTAAACGTTCTTGTTGATCTTTATGTTTGATGTCAGAATGGATGATGAATGGATAAGCATGTTGAGTAACAATATGACTAGAATTTGCAGCTTGATCATTGGGTGCCATGATTCTATTGCAATGCTGGTTGTAAAGTTCTTGAGTAGTTAAGAGCGATTCGTTGGTAAACAGAATCTTTTTGTGGGCATTGTCAGCAACTCGAAAAACACTGCAGCTTTTTTTTTCTTCTTATTATTAAGGAAACTAAATTTTACATTTGTATAGACTCAATGCCTCGGGATGATGAAATGTGAAGCTGTTAGACTCTGCTACAATAACGTTCTTTAACATTATGCAATTAAATAATACCAACATATCATAATCTTTGGAAATATAACATAATTCAATAAATTTTTATCGTAATAAACAATAAGAGAAAATCAGAGATAATAAACGCATTAATAAATTTAATAATAAATGCAAATGACTGACCAGCTTACAGAGCCGCAATGAACAGTGTTATGTGAACTTATTTGTCACCCTGTACTTTAGCAAACACCTGATGTTTTTTTTTTCAATTTAAACTATTCATACGTCCTTTGAAGGAACAAATGCTGACCTTACCTGCAGTTAGGGATCCAGTACATTTCCAGGCATAAAGCAAACTCCAAACATTTTTAAGTTTATCTTTGCAGCTCTGAGCATGAAAATAGCGGTACTAAAAATTATTCGTATTTTCATTATTACTCTCCTGTATAAAATAGAAAGACAAATTTTTTATGTGTGTATATACAAGAATGAGATAAGTAAATTGAGCATATGAGAATTCAATACATTCAAGAATACCGATAATTTTGATAAAAATTATTGTAACTGAGAGAATACATTAATGCAGCAGTGGTTGTATTGATTTTAAAGTTTATAAAATTTAAAGAGATTTGCGTAATTTTCAAAGGGAAAGTAAGTATTACTTCAATTATAATATATTCTTTATTTATTTGTGTATGCTCAATGGTAAAAGACTTTTCAAAACTTTTCAAAGTGGACCGAGGATGTCATTGTACACCAACAGAACGCAACATTATTTTGAAGCATCATAGAGAGAGAGTAAATCTTACCCATATATACAAAATATTCTCGGATTTTCAGCAAAGATGATTTCAAATACCATAAATTATGAAGCAAAAGTTAAAAAACGAGGTGGAAAACGTAAGACTTCTGCACAAGAAGACTGAAGAACTGTAAGATACGTTAAAAGCAAACCATTTTCATCTGCCAAGCAAGTTAGAGATGATTTTGAATGACAAGTGAGTGGCACAACTATTCCTAGGCACTTAAGAGAGAACAGTTTATATGCATTCAGTCCACGAAAGATTCCTTTGTTGACAAAAACATACCGCTAAACGATTGCAGTTCGCAAACCAACATCTAAATTGGCCTATCAAAAAGAGGCGCAACATATTATGGACCGAAGAATTAAAAATCGTTCTTTATTTTATATTCTATAGAATTCTATGGATATTCCATAGAAAACCCATGAAATTCTATGAGTAAACAATGGTTTTTCCATGAAAAACGGAAATTCCATGGAACTCCCATGGGTGAATTTCCATGAAAATTGAAACCCTATGAAATTTCCATGAGTGAACCATGGTTTTTTTTTTCATAGCTCATGTTGCACAATGGGTTTTACAAATGCGCTTAAAGATGCCGTCATAACTCGTAGAGTTACAACCGTTTGTATTTTGAGTAATTAATATTTTCTGCATTCTTCTGTTTTTCTGTATTTTTCTGTATAAGACTATAAATTATATGTTTTTTATAATGCATTACATGATGATTCAAACTAGTCATACAGACATAAACAACATATTTGCAATAGCTAGAATATGATAAATGTATGCATTTTATAACGCATCATAATATGATATTATTAGAGATGTTGGTCTCGAAACTTAAATCTTGGTCCCGAGACGTCTCGAGATTCATTTAACTGTGTTGGTCTGAGTCTTGGTGATGAATCAAAATTTCTTGGCTGTAGTCTTGGTCTTTACTGTCTTTATGTTTTTGGATATTGTCATATTAAGACGCATTATAAAATGCGTATATTTATTTATTATTTATATTATATAATTATAAATTATTTATGCTTATACTTATTCTAGCTATTGCCAATAGCTTTGCTTACTTTGCATAACTTGCAACAGTATAGCAAGTATGTCAAGTGAGTCAGTTTGATTTTTAATGTTTATTTGGTTCACTACAAATATTTTAGTTTTAATGTACATTAGATAACTAGTGTATTAGATAAGCTAAGATAAATTAGATAAGCAGTGTATCGGATAAGATTAGATAACTAATCTACTAAAGATATCTTTTTTAATTTTTTTTAATGGCTTTAGTTTTCATAAAAATGTTTGAAGTTACAACACTTCATTGTATGGTAAATGTTTATTAAGTATTAAAAAACATTCACCATTATTTTTAATTTGTAATAAATGTTTTATTCAATTTTAGTTCTGTTAAGTTGTTTTTGTCTTTTTGTTGACGCGAACATTCAAGTCGGCATTTAATCAATGACTAGATCTAGTATGGATATTTGTTATGTTTTTTCTTTACTGTTAAATAGCAGAATTAATAGAATATATAAATAATGTAAAGATGTATAAATTCTTTAAATTTTAATTTATTATTTTATTTAAATTACTACATTATAAACATTATTATTTAAATAACTGCATTATAAGTTATTAAATAAATTACTACATTATAAACCAGCAGGTTTGACTAGCGATATAAATGTTGTTCATCATTTATATCATTTATAACATTGTCAGTTTTAATATGCATTTTATATATTTTTAAAAATAGTTCAAAAGCTGTTTAAATAAAATGGTGAATTGAGTTCGAATTAACCAGAAAAGATGTAAGCGTAATCTTTGGGATTCAACTTGTAATGATGTTCTAAGAACAACTTAGTTGGAGAAGGAAACTACGGTAATGTTTTAAAAATATCAGAAAGGGAAGTTAATTAATGCACAAGATTTTACTTCACAGTTAAATATGAGCATATAAAAGCAATGTTTATAAATAATACACTATTGTTTATTATAATACAATTATTTTAATTTGTTTATATTTAACAAATGTGAAGTGCTCGTCTTAAGTAAAAATAAATTAATTTATGTACACACTTTAATATTTATTATGTTTTTACATTACTCTATTTAATAAATTACATATTTATTTCATTTATTATGTTTTAAATAGTAAAGTAAAAATATAATTTTTGATTTTAATAGTGTGTGCATAAGTTCTTTTATTTTAACTTTATCATTTTATTTAAATTACTGCATTATAAGCAGGTAAGTTTGACTGGCGATAGAAATAATGCTTGATACCTTTCAGATAGATCGGACAAAGAAGAAGTAAGCTTTTACAATTTAAATTACAATTTATAAGTAATAATATATTTGTTGCTACCTTGTTCTCTATAAATGTTACCAACATACAGGAAACATTTATATATACCATAAATCTTTTTGTTTGAACTTTATCATATTATTTAAATTACATAATAGGCAGGAATGTTTGACTGGAAAATAGCTTGGGCGAAAAAGAGGTAATAATCTTATAACTATTATTTATAAATAATGATATATTCATCGCAATTATTTTCTAATAATTATAAAGTAAGTTATAATAGGTAATAATTATAAGTATAAATAAACTTGTAAATAAAGAAAATTAGTTAGTATGTATAATATACATTGTATATATTAATTGTATGATGTATTGTTTAGATTGGTGAAATGGACAATGATGCTAACTGAGACAAAAACAATAATGAATATCAAAATGTAAATGGTAATTTGTTTGACGTTTACCTGGTTTTAGAGATACAGTTGGCGATGCAATCTCACTTGTAAATCGTCTTGATGTTTTTTTAACTTGAATGATGATTCTTTTTAATTTCTTGAAACTTGAAGTTATTAATTATCAAATTTATATATACACTATTTTTATCAAATAGTTAATATAAAACAATAAACATGTAAATCGTTATATTTTCTGTAAAAATTATTTTCTTAATCTATTTCAATTGTTTATCACTGTATGTATATCACTTATAATATGATATTACTTGTAATTTTTTGTTTAATTTATTTATAGTATGCTTACACATATGCATACATTAAATATTGTGGTGAAGTCGAGTTTTATTGTTTTAGGTGCATTATTGCTATTATTTTTCAAAGATCTATAGGATTTAACAAGATTAAAGTTTTAATTTGTTTATTGATTTTATTCCGCGAAAGTGGTCCCATAAATTAAAAGAACTCAAAAATATTAGCGAGTTGCGTGATAAAATTTCCTTTTTATGGTATAATGTAACAATTGAAATAACATTAGATCATAAAAAACTTGAAAACAAAACATGCTATTTTACCATGGAAAATCCATGAATTTTTCTTGGAAAGGTGTTCCAAATACCCATGGAGATTCTATGGTTTTTCCATGGGTTTTTTAAATAGATTTTCCACGGAAACTTTTCGCAAGGGCAGGTTTAAGGCAATAAACAAGACATCCAGCTAATTCAGAATTCCAGAAAAAAGAATACCATTAAGTCTGTGAGACATGGTGGAGTCAAAGCCGTGGTATGGGGCTGCTTCTCATAAAATGGTGTCATGCCGCTAAAATGGGTCTTCCAACAAAATAACGATCCGAAACACAATATTCGCAAAGCAAAGTAGTGGTTTAAGGTCAATAGGGTTAAAGTTATGGAGTGGTCTGCTCAGTCACCCGATCAAAACCCCTTTGAAAACTTAGGGGGAGACGTTAAAAAAGCATATACTAATACAGTTACCTATACAGTTGCTAATCCAAATAATGCTCAGCAGTTATGGATAGCTATTCAACAAGCATGGTACGCAATACCCGCAGAAAACGCCAACGCCTTGTTGACTCAATGTATCGGCGTTACGAAACCGTTATCCAAAACAAAGGTTTTACAACAAAATACTAAGAGTAAATATTATTATATTATACTTATTTTTAACTCTTTAATGTTAAAAAAATAACTTTTTAAATGTTTTACTCTAAAAAAATTATTTTTCTCCATTTTCAGATACCACTGCTATTTCAATTACTGCAACCTTTTTTTAATATTATTGTTTTGTTTCTGAAATAAAATGTAAAACTACAATTGATGTGATTTTTTTTTTATTCTATTAGATTTACGTGTCAAAATAAATAAAAAATAATAATGCCTCCCCTCTGCCCCAAATGCGAGAGCAACTAGTTGATAAAATAGACTTTTTGATACTCTCAACTAAATTTGAGTTCATCGATAAATTTTAAGTATTATTGTATAATCTCTAAGCGCTCAAAAATTATAACCATATAAAATTTGTAACCCCCTCATTTCGGCATAGGCTCAACAAGTTGATCAATTTTTCCTAGTGTAAACTTATTTCATGTGGCTTTAATAGCTTCATATAGCTCATTGGCATTTTTGAATAGTTTTTATTGTTTTAGAAAAAGTTTAACTTAATGCCATAAATTTTTAATCAGATTGTGATCAGCTAACCACTTCAATACTTAATTTTAGTTTGTTAGCTAACCACTTCAATACTTAATTTTAGTTTGTTGCCATTGTTTAACAAGTTTCGGGCTGTTGTCTATTGAAATATTTTCCATAAAAACATAAGAATAAATAAATCGATCGACTATTAAAACTGAGGCTAAAAATAAGGATTTTAAGGAGATTTAAGGAGATATTTTCCTAATATTTAAGGAGATTTGGTTGCAAGCAACAATTTTTTGTAAGTAAAAGCAAGGAGAATTAAGTAGAAAACAATTGCATTAAAAACAGAATCATATTTTTTCAAATTTTTTTAAATATAAACAGAAAAATTGTTATAAACTAATTATAACTTAATAAAAGTAAATTAAAATCAAAGTATAACCAATAAAAATATTATTATTTTGTTCATTGAATTTATGACATCAATATTGATTTTATCGATCAATATTGATTAAATAAATTATGTAATCAGGGTTAAAACTATTAAAACTATATATAATAGAAATTTATATATATAATTTTAAACATAAATAAAACATTGATTTAAAATGTCAGTTCAAATTCTTAAAACAAAGATAAAAATACAAAACATTAACACTATCTGTGTGATCTCGATAACTTTACTTAAATGATGTGAAACAATAAAGAAACAAATTTATAAAATGTATACAAAAAGTTCTTTGATTTGCAAACTATCGAATTATATACTTGCTTTTTTATTAATAAGTATAATTTATTCACTTTAATAAAATTTCCTAGATGATTAAAAAAAAAAAAAAAAAAATAAGGAGAAAATAAGGAGAAATTAAGGAGAGCAGTCAAATTTTAACTTTTTTTTAACGCTATTTAAGGACTTTTTAAGGATACTTTAGATTTTTAAGGAGGATTGGGAACCCTGTAATGACATTATTTTAATGGATAGTCACTGAAACTAGAAAAACAATCCCAGACCATTGCAATTTTTCAATAACCATGCTAGGTTGGTCTTCTTGTGCATTTAGGATCTAAGCGTTTACCTATAGGTACATAGGGGTGAGCAAAACCGAATATCCTATCCTTTTTTTTGAAATCGGATTTGAATTTAACCGAACCGTAACAGATATCCGGTTAAAATCTGTAGTTAGAACTTCCAAATAGAATGAGCATAACAGGTAATCCAGAATAGAATAATTAAAATCACCCCTAGTTAAAACTTCCAACTCGGAAGAACTTTAATCTTGTTAAATCCTACAGATCTTTGAAATGATCCCTATAGGTACGTAAACGTAAAGGTAAACGTTTAAAATCCTTTAAACTGGTATCAGGACCTTCCAAATTGCACTTTGTTTCCACATTGTTCCACAATACTTTTTGCCAGCATTAACAGTCCAGTGTTTATGAGCATTTGAAAATTTAAATCCTTTCAGTTCATTAGAAAAATGAAAGGCTTAATGGCGGCTCTGAAGTTCAGAAGTCTTGAAATTTAAAATCGTCTGCAAATTGTATTTTCGAATACTGAATGTTTCAATTTTTGAACAGTATCATTAACATTTTCAGATGGACATGCAATCACTGTTTAGAGCTCCGGAATTGCTAAATATAATTTGAGTGTGGACTGTAAGAGGTGAAACTGTAAATAAAGTGCTTAGTAACCACTTTTCTTTGGTCAGTTTTGTTGTAATAAAACACTTTGTAGGTGGGTACTTTAAAAGAAATTCTGTCTCCTATTCAATTTTTCTTCCCAGAAGTTTCATCAGTGTAAAAAGTAAAGCATCCTGATTTTCTTGACTTCAGAATCATCTCAGCATACTGATTTGGTCTGAAAACTCAAACAACTCATTTGATTCAGCTAAAATCTCAATCACGGGGTAAGAATGAGTGAAACCGTGAGTGGAAAATATTGACAAACAATTTTGAATATTCCTCTATTACAAAGATTTATCAAGAATTTAACCATATAATGATTTTCATTTAGCCCTGAAATGTCATCACTGAAAAGACTAACTAAAGTTCCACTAGGAACTTCAGTTTTTAAATAATACAGTATTATAGAGCAAATCTCTGGGGATTTATGCATCATTTGTTCAGCAACTTTTACGCTTTACATTGTCACTTTTTAGTTTAATTTAAAACTATTACACTCGCTGCAAACATCAACTTGCGGTTGCCCGAATGATAAACTAAAGTTTTCCTTAAAGTATCTATCACAAAAAATATATATTACTTTATATATTTTACTCTTAACTCAGGGTGGTCTATTTGAAACATTAAAAACATTTTAGAAATATTCAACTCTGCATTCAAATATTTCTTTATCCAAGCACCATAATGTGTTTCCCTCACTTCAAATTTTAAAATGTGTTTATACACACATATATTGCCATCAATTGCATTTCCGCGATTTTTGCCTCTCATATTGACAGGTGTTTGATTCCACAGTATTAGGCTGCATAACCTTCCAACTCAATCTCGAGAAACATCATGTATTTAAAAAAAATAATTTTATAAACTGGATGAAACTTATTGGTTTTCATGTTGTACACAATGTTGAACATGAAGCAGTACTATTTGAGTTTTTCGTTTTTCTATATTTAACTGTCTTCTATTAATGTTTGTAAATGTAAATCTTATTTATTTTTAGTTTTTAACTGTAAATAAAAACTGTTCCAGATTGTATTTTTCATTTCATTATCAATATGCAAACTGCATTTGTTTGAAACAGTTGTACACTAGTTCATCAGGAATAGATTTACCAGAAACAAGGTCACCTTTCTAGTTTGTGTATTCTTTACCTTATACTCTAGCTTTATTTATATTTTCATTCAAAATGACTTGTTTTCGTTTATCATCAAAACTATTTCACTGTGAATTTTTTAAACCAAATACCAAGTTAAAACACTGTTGTAAATCATGTCTTTAAGCCACTTAAGAACAATTTATAATCAGCTAGGAAGCAATTAACGCTTGTCAACTTTTTTATAAGAAGAATATTTGTAGATAAGAAGATTCGCAGACAAAGAGCTATACAGTAATAAAGCATTAGTGATTTAGTGTCTCTAAGAAACTTATAATAAAATATCTCAAAACACTAAACAATAACATTAACCTTAAAACCTGCAGATATTTAATCTCTCACTCACAACAAATCTGATTGACAGGAATGCTAGAGTGGATGGGTAGGAAACGTGGCGCCATCTATACTTAAATATGAGAACAAAACAAGATAAACATAAAATTTACTGCAGAAAGCTGCCATGTAGTTTTACTTGAAGGTTTCTGCAATAAAAAAAAATTTCAAGACAAATTGCAACCCGTTGAAAGTCTTGATAGTTCATGTGTTTCTCCATAACAGGGTTTTGGCGATTCTATATTATATTTGTGCATATTGTATATTATTATTGTTTTTGAAAAAAATGTCACTTGACAGGTTTCTGAAAATAAATGATTTATTTATTTGTATGCATGTGTGTATGCATGCAGTAATTTAAAAAAAGTTTAACTTACTGGCTTTTCTTTCTCACAGCACTTTGAATATCTTGCAACTCCATGTCAAGCCAAGACTTACAACTAATTCCAGATCGACTCAAAGGCAAAAGTGGCAGTGGCGGAAAATAAGGAAATTTAACGTGTTTATTACAAATTTTACCTGTATCATACGATTTTAAGAAACTATTGTCTTCAATAGAAGAAAGGATTTGAAGTAACAGTGGATCATTTTTCCAGTTTGTGACTACCTAAATATATAAAATCAGATTTGGAATCTAAAATACAATAAACTTGAATGGTGTACCATTTTGAATTTTCTAATTAGGTATGAGTTAATTGAAAAGTTTTCTTAAAAAACATCAGACATGTATAAAAAATTTTAAAATAACTTGATCCACTCACACACACACACACACACACACACACACAAACACACACACACACTTATAAATAAAATACCCCAAATTAAATTATATAGATAAAACTCATTGCAACATAAGTTACAAAGAAAAGATCTTTGCTATTCCTAACTGGAATCAGAACCAAAAATCGAAGCCAAACAGGAACATGACTTGAAACCATAATCAAAAAATAATTTAAGTTAATAAAAATAATTAATAATGGGATTCAAAAACTGGACGATTTTCTCGACAAAAGAAAAAAAATTTTATTTTCAAAAATTTTTAAAAATATCATTTTTATCTTGAATCTAGTTGATTGGCAACTGAACAATGTTATTTTTTTCAAATGCCGAACCACACTTTTCGATTGCATTTTTTATAGCAAATTTTACTTCCAGAACAGACATCACTGGAGGTTGTTTAAAAGTTTCAACTAATATTTTGCAAAAGTTTTAACTAAACAAGTTTTTAACTTGTTGTCACAATTTGAATGCAAGAACCAGCAGTTGACAACTTTTTAGTTACTTTCTTAAAACAATTTGATGCAAGAATCAGTACTTGACAATATTTTAGTTACCTCATCAAAAACAAATACAATATTCTGGTGTAAGTTTGATGTCAGGGTGATGACATGAGTACATATAATCCTCAATTTCTTAGGTAATCAGATTCTCTTAAAACTTTGTCATTGGTGAACCATTCTGAACCATTCTTAGATTGTTTGTTTCACTTATGAAGTATTTTCAAACCAAACTTGTTTTTCTTGTTAAATCTATTTTGTTTTAAAATGAAATATAGAGTAATATTTAGTTTCATATACTAAATATATACAAAGTATATAAAAGAAATTCTTTGAGATATATAAGAGAAATATAATATTTTATTTTAGAATCAATTATAAGTTTAAATCTATTTAGTATTAGAATGAAATATAGGAGTATTTTTTAATGTTGCTAGTTTTAGTCAAAAACAACTGTTAAAAATATAATTGAAATAAATAATAATTATTAATAACAATAATTGTTATACAAAAAATTATTTTTAGACAACTATTAATGATTTGCTCTCTTTGGACAAATTTTTATGACTTCAACACAAAGATTTCAATTACCATGAATATTATTTTTGCAATTTAAAGTGTAATTTAAATACTGTAGCGCAAAGCTTAAGTAGAATTGAAGAGAAACAATTTTGTAACATTTATAAATAATTGTAATATTTAATATATATCTACTTATATAATAGTTACACATACACATAACAAAATATTAGCTTTCAAATAACAATGATAAAAAATATTAAAATATTTGAATATTAATTTATAATTAGTTAAAACAAAGTTTGAACAAAGCCAAATCTAATTTCCTACAATTTTCAATGATAATAATTTAATTTATAAATAAAAATAGTCTCAATAATATATCAATATTTAATTAAAAAAAAATTATTCAAATTATTTTAATCAAAATGATAGTAACAATATAATTCTAAATAAAGCTTTATGGTATCTATTTTCTGTAGTATTTTAAACCAAAACACCAGCCAAGATCATAAATATATTTGGAATTAGGAAATTTGGTTTAACTCAAAATTGTGGAGACGAATCAAGACAAGTTTTTCGTTTGATAAACCAAAACAGTTATAATATTAAAAATACTTGTATATAAGTTCATAAAAAATAAAAAATCTGGCTTGGATTTTGTTGTAAGAGAATTCGGCTAAAATGATTTTGTTAAAACTTTATTGAAAAGGGTTTTGTCTGCACTTAAATTATATAATATAGGTTTGCTATTGCAGCTAACGAAGCTTTATTATGAAAGTAGGTTATGCAGACAATGTATTTTTTTAAACCAACATAAACTAAATTATAAAATAAAACTTAAAACAAAAATTTAAGGTTTATTAAACCAAACAATCATAAAATACCAAATTAAAATACTGTTGTAAATCACTCTTCTTATAAAAAAAATTAAACTTTTCAAGAGGTTAAGATATTATAGAAACTTTTTTGCTTTCTGTAAACATTCAATGAATAACATTGTAAATCAAGACTTATGTTTAATATATGTATATTGTCTGATAATACAAACTTTTTTGTAATTGTAAGACTAAAGATATAACTTAAACTGAAATCAAAATTTTGAAATTATTCAAAAACTATAATAAAATTTTCTGTAATAAATATAATAACTACCTATATTTGCCAAAATTAAAATTTATTCGATTAATTATTAAATCTATTATTTAATCAGCTTAAAATCAAACACTTATTGTATTATAAAATTAAATTATCAAAACACTTTGTAAAGAATTTTAATGAATGGAGTTAATCATTTAATTGGGCAAAAAAATTTAAAAAAAAAAAATTTCGAATGATTATTAAACCTACATTTGCAACTTGCCTCATTTTTATCAATTTTTCATTTTGTAATCTGATTTCTGGTGAATTGAGATGCATAGATTGATAAAAGCAAACTTTTTTTTTAGTTTTTAAAAAATAATTTTGAATTAAATAAATTCTCTCAATTTGTTGATTTGCAACATGTTAAAATTTTTTTATTTGGTGTAACATTAAAAGCATTTTTTATTCAGAATATAATTTTATTTGTTTAATGAACCAACAACTTAATTAATGTAATTATAACAACTGTATAAACAAATTTTTCTAAGCATATATTCTGTTACCTCCAAATCTATATTTATTATCTTAAAATTCACAAGAAAAAGTAAAAATAAACAAAAAACTGTTTTGAGATCATAATAAATTTAAAAAGTTTAAACTAGGCAAAAGATTTAAAAAGAAAAGCAAAAAGGTAAAAGTGAGTAAAATAAAAAGCTAGATAATCAATTTCAGGAAAAAAATAATAAAATGTAGAACAGTGTTTTACATCATCTACTTAATCATCCATATAATATCTTTGTTTGACACCATCTAGTTAATAATATACGACATCAAACCTACAAAAAAATCCAAATTTAAAGAATTTAATAAGTTAATTAGATTAACTTAAGACAAAAATAAATGAGATTTAAGGAATTCAACTTTAAGAAATGTATTTCAAGTTATGTGTAACTAAATAATATTTTTAGATATTTCATAAAATTTACTTTTTTGAGCTAAAGTAATGTAAATTTTATTTACAGAATAATTTATAACATTTTAACACTTAATAAAACTTCAAAACTTTAGGCTATCCTCTCTCTCTCCCCCCCCCCCCAACTTTAATAAATGGCTGCTACTAAATGTAAATACACAAATTTTTGGAAAAAAAAATTGAGACACCTAACATTAAACCTAAACCACATCATAACTAATCTAAAGATATTTGTCAATGTCCTCGGTCAAACCAATAAAACCTAATAGAGATTAACGATTTTTATGTCAAAAACTGATTGAGATACAATAGATATGTAAAAACTATTATTTAAATGTGATTGAAATATTTTCTATGTCTTTTCGGTTTGGTGAGTTGGTTCTGTAAACTTAGTAAATGAACATTAAGTTTGTAGGTTAAGGCAGAAAATTAACTCATGTAACATATAAATATAAAAATAAAATAATAATAACATCAATAAAAAAAAAAAAATTCAAGTAGTTATTTTGCATTCTATATTAAATAATAAAGAGTAAACTTATGAAATAAGCTTCTAAAAGTATAAAATAATCCAGTGTGTTTTGCTTAAACTTAAATTGAGCTCTTGCCTTTAGTTTAAACTTATGAAGTAAGCCTGTGTATTTTATTTTTTTGGGAGGTAAAGACTTTTGATTAGAAATTTTAAAAAACAATATCATTTAGGGTAACAAACTTGTATCACAAACTTCAGGAAAAATAAACTGTATAAAGTACTTTTGACTGTAAGATGCAAGTATTTTGAGATTTTTTTTGATAAACTTTGTTATGGGTGCTTATGAACTCTTTCATCCAACCTACTCTGCGATGCTAATTATCAGACAATATATTGTTCATTTTATCACAAAGACTACATATACTATAGTTGTAAGACAACTTTTAAGCATGTTTATAAGTAAAAAACCATATTGGGTCTTGCTACTTTTAAGTGTGTTTATAAGTAAAAAACTATATTAGGTCTTGCTACTTTTAATTAAGTTGTAATTATTTGACCATTTGTGCATTTAAAATTAAATGGATATTCCTTCTTCTCTATTTTTCATAAGTTCAAAGTTTTTTAAAATCAAGTCAAGTACATTATTTATTTTTGTTATATCTAATAACTCTCTTATCTTTTTGTATTAATTAATTGCATTACATACTTTCTGCTCAGATATCATGTATCATTCTGTTTTTGTAATGAAGTGCAGTTTTCTGAAAATATAAAATAATTTGATTAAATAACAGAGCATACTTAAGTGCATGGAAATTGATGGTTTTTGTGCATGGAAATCAATGGTTTTTTGCATAAGTGTGCCAAAAAAATTAAAAAACCCAGTTTTTGTAACTACTTTGCAGTTATGAAATTCACATTTATTCACTATAAAACACATGTATTTTTTAATGATAAATGAAGTGGTACACATAAAAGTAATAAATAGATGAATAAACATTTTTAAAAATTAAGTATTTTCATAGAAAATACAAAAATCATAATAATATTTGCAAGTAGAATGAAATTTATTCAACTATCTGTTTTATTATTTAAAAAACAAATTATTTTACAATTGTAATGACAATGTTTTTTACAACAACTAATTACTCCTTAATGTTTTCCGCATTAACTATTTCAAAAGACTGTTTAAACAATCTAATTGTAAAAAGTTTTGGCATAAATTAAATGACTTCATGCATAGGTAAAATCACCATTTTGTACTTAAACTGCAAGCAGCTACTTAACAAGGCATGCTGTTCCAATTATAAGACTACTTTCCAATTATTTATCAGTGAGATTAGTTAATTAAGATTGTTCATAATCATTAATGGTCGTTATGGTAGATTATGATTGAGATAATTGAGATTTAATTGTGTATGAGTTAAAAAACAAATAAAATGCAAATTCCCCTCAGTCTGATACCATTCGTTGACAATAATAGTGGTATCGGTAATAATAAACAGAAGCCAACTCTCCTTTGTAATTAAGTTTTCAAGTTTAGTAGACTCTGAGATGGATATCCTCCCAGGAGCCTCTAAGCTTAAACCTTCCCTATGACAGACATTTTGGTAGACCTGGTAGATCAAGATCCTGATCAGCCAACCCCATAGTAATACACTTTGGGGAAAGATACCAAGTATGGTTTCAAAGACTTTTTAAAAAAGCACTCTCAACACCATAATCCCAATCCTTTTAAATGATTTCAGCAGCTTTGTATGCCTTAAGGTCATTTACTACTGCATGTTCAGCTTTGGTGGATTTGAGAAATGGAGCAAAGTATAAGACAACAATAAAGTTAGCCTTAGAGACTAGAGTCTTCTGATCATCACTCAGGAAGTTAATAATAGCAGAAGTAATATCCAGAAATCCCAAGTAGATGCTGTCACACATAAACCTGGCATTATTGTTAGCACCTGGTTGGTACAAACTAAACTTTTCAAGCTTGGTTGAAGTGACATTCATATAGAATGCAACATACTCTACCAAGTGATTTTAATTTTTCCTAGGAAAAACATTATGCTCAAGGGAATAAGCAATGAATTTTTTAGAATTGAGATATAAACTGTGAATAATATCCAGTTCACTTTTATGAAACTTCTTAAATTTCTTTTCAGTTCCTGCTTTACTAACAATAGGGTGAAAACTATTTATCCAAGTGTTTAAATCTTTATACAACTGTTTAGGTCTCACAGTTTGTTCTCTAAAAATAGCTTTGATGCCCCATTTTATATGGATCTCTGCAATATAGTGCCGACACAAGTAAACTGGTTGTCCCAAAACAAAGACTAAAGTTACAATTGCTCTTGATATCTCTTTTTTGAGACTGTTGTGTTGGAACACACAGCAATAATATTCTTTGATATTTCAAAATATTCTGGAGTACAGTAGCCATATCATTTGCTTTTCCACTGTCTACAGGAACAACCCAAAGAAGTAAATAATTTTTTGAAAAAAACTCATGACTTGTAACTGATAATGCTAGTCTACCAATAAGAACTCTTTTCATCGATTCTTCTATGTGCTATAAATTTTTCCATCAAAGTACCAATGACTTATTATTCATTGCTTCCATATACTCATTACAGATTTTACAACTTAAACAGATTTTTATCTTTAAATTTAATAACTTCATCAATCAGATAATACCTTCATCAATCAGATAATAACTTCATCAGTCAGATAATAACTTCATCAATCAGATAATAACTTCATCAATCAGATAATAACTTCATCAGTCAGATAATAACTTCATCAATCAGATAATAACTTCATCAATCAGATAATAACTCTCTGTATATACTTAATTCTTTAGGGACCAGATCTGTTTCTTGATTTAAGTCTATTAGGTCAGGTTTATCACCAAATTTGGTTCATTGCTAATGTCAGGGTGATAATCTTTTCTATCAAGGTACAGCTGGGCAGGACTATCAGAGAAGCAGAGGTGGAAAAAGTAAAACAAAATTGTACTCAAAAAAAAGTACTGTTACTTGAGTAAAATTTTACTCAAGTACAAGTAAAAGTTACCGGTCGAAAAGTTTACTCAAGTAAAAGTAAAAAGTAGCTTATTAAAAATGTACTCAGAGTAAAAATTGCTTTACTTTTTCAAATAACAAAGCTGTCAAATAAAAAAGCAAAAATCATGTAATCTATTCTTTTCTGTATAAAATTTTTTTTTTGCACAGAAAATTTTTTTTATGGCTGTAAAAAGTTAAAAGAAACCAAGCTAAAGCAGTTAAAAGTCGTTATAAGCGCGCTCAACATTTTTTTTTAAACAATTTAAAAGTGTCATTTTTATTTAAGTGAGCAAAACTCAAAAAAACGAAAAAATTAAATTATAGTGTTTGTAAAATTAAACAATACATAATAAATTTTTTTACTCAGTAAGGCATATGATTTCAAATAAAGTGAAGTACAATACTTTAGAAAAAAAATACTTAAGTAAAAGTAAAATTACACATTTTAAAAAATACTTGAAAAGTAAAAATTCACAAAATAACTACTCAATTACAATAACCTGAGTAAATGTAATTCCTTACTTTCCACCTCTGCAAAGTAGTAGTTTTTTAGTATAAAGAAATCAAATCTTATTTCTCTCTTGCATGACATTATATTAAAAAAAGGAGAGAAAGTGGTGTTAAATACAAAAAAATTGACTAAGAAATACTTTAAAAAGATACTAAAAAACATTAAACCTAAAATTAATTTTCCTTTACAATTTTTCAAAAAGTAAATCATTTTCTTCACTGATTTATTCTTGATCTTTATTGTCTGTTCTTCCTGGATCATTAAGAATCAACTGATCTGTTTCAGCTTTTTTCTTCAGCTCTTCGCGCCATAAGTAACTGTCAATTCTTCTCTCAATCAAAATAAATCTGAATTTTTGAAATTTAATATATAAAAATGTTTAAAGATGTGACAAATCTTAATCAGTTTAAGTTTAATAAAATATTTTGTACCCTGGCCTTTAACTTTTCATCAACGCAACCACTAATAAACATTTTTCTGTTTTGATCTTGAAGAAAGTTTAGTTCTTTTTTCATTGTAGTACTGTCTCTTAGCATAGAAGTATCCTGACACATGGACTACTCAAATTATTGAGAACTGATGTCAAACAGTTTATCGGTCATTATCAGGAACTTTTATTGTTATTTTTGAGATCCATTTGGTTTCATTTTTTAGTGTTCTCTCATTACAAACAGCTTTATATTGGTTATGAATTTCCAAAAACTTGTTTAGTATGCTTACTTCTGAAACAACTTAGTTCTGAAAACCACAAGAAGCCCAAACATTTACAATAACCAAACAGTATTTTTCTGTACCAGCAATGCAAGGCCCATTAGTTCCTTTGCATTTCATATCTCAAAAAATGTCTTTGGTGCACAAACAAAGTTAGTCTGATTGGCCCAAATCTTTTAACTCTGGAGGAAATAATGATTAGAAAATCTAATAAGATGACTATTAGTTGGCAATTGTCTGATAGGTAGAGAGTTCAGTGGAGTTTCAAGAAGATAGACAGATCTTTTTGGGCTGTAAATGATTGGCTTTACAGCTCCTTTTTTAGCTTTTTCTTTTCCCATTTTTCTTAAGTATTTAAAACTTTGAACAAAGAATTGAAAATAATCAACTGTGCATTTAATTGTATTGAGTATTAATATAATAAGAACTTAATAGCAGACAGTAGTACCGGTGGGGTGGTGGGGTCCAAGAGGTTAGAGGAAAGAGGTCCTAGAGTTTAGAGGAAGAATGGGGTGGGTTGGTATTTGATGGGCATTGTCGTTATGATTATGAACAAAAATAAACAAATGCATTTTTATGGCACACCAGCATTACTCCACTATTTCCTGTATTGTGTACGCTTGAAGAGGAACTCGTTTTAAAATAAAATGCTGAAATGCTGAAATTCTTTAAATAAACTGAGTTTTAACATTATATTGTATGGATTATTTATGTTTGAAATTATTATATTAAGTATCTTATACAACGTACAATATATAATTTTAATTTATAAACATGTATAATGTACCTGTTTATAAAACAAAAATGATAATTATTTGTTAAAACGGTTTTTTACTTGTAGCTGTTGCAAGCATCAAGAATTTTATAAATTTTGCCCACAAACTCATACTAGTTAGCAAAATCCATAGGACACCTTTTTTTTTTGCATTTTTGGGTGACCCTAATCTACAACATTTTAAAGTGAGAATGTCAAATGCATATATAAATCTAACCTTTAGGTGGTTAACTTTGTTTATTATTGTCATCATAGGATCATATTCTGACTTTTCATAAATGTCTAAAAACACATGCCCACCCTAAATTAAGCAATAAAATAAAAAATATTTTCTCAGAGCAAATTGTTATTGTATTAATAAATGGTTTTACAGAAAGATTAACATAAATTTACTTTCTTATTTGTATGCTTTAGGTATTTGGAGTGATGCGTTCTTCGGAAATCATGTATATGTTTGGCACAAGTATTCATTTCTTTATTGATTTTGGTCTAGTGAAAAAAACGATAATATATATAAAAATGAATAATAAAAATAGTAATAACTTGACATTAAAAAGTTGATTTCATTTTCTTTTTTAAAACATCATAAAACCCATATTTCATAAAGCCTTTTATTTGTTGAACTACAGCAAAATTATTTCTCTACAACTAACATGTCAATAACAAGTTCATATTTAGGTTCTTTTTTTATTTACTTACCTTTTTTCAAAGGAATACAAAAAACATACCAAAAAAGATTGTTAAAAAAAAATAGACTCATTTAAGGTTTCCACTCTACTTTCTTGTCAGCCCAACTGTTATTCATAACTATTTTGTTAATTTTTATGTTAGTTTGACAATTTCATATAAAAGGTTGGATAAAATTACTTAGGATGACCTGTTTAGTCACATTCAATGCTTTTTCAAATACTTAGATAAGATCTAAAAGTAATTATACATAGAAATGAATCGAAAAGCAGTAAACGAAGCAATAAAATGGCAAATAATAGGTATGAAGGATAGCTCAATGATCAGTAATAGAGAAATAGCAAGAAAATTAAAAACTTCAGAGAATTGTGTCAGATATACTCTTAAGACATTTAAAATAACAGGTGGCATCCAATAGTATGCAGGATCAGGTAGGTTAAAAAAAGCTACCGAAAGCGAAAATGGTCTTATATTTCGTCAAGTAAAGCCAAAGTTTTTGTCAACTCACCAATGCATTTAACAAAAACTGTGAAAAATATATTTTGTCTCTATGCAGCTCTTAGAAAACTTATGTTGATGGCCAGTGATCGGCTCACATGATTAAGATGGTGTAAGGAGAGAATCAGATGGTCTTTGGAGAAGTGGAAGCAAATAATTTTTAGTAATGAAAGTAACTTTGAAGCAATAAATAAAAAAAAGCAAAGTTCTTGTTAGAAGATTTAAATAGGAAAAGTATAGTAATTGCTTGTTGTACCAAGGTTACAAAGTGGCGACAGGAGTGTTGGATCTGCTTTAATCTTAACAGAGTAAGAGTGTGTAACATTTATACAGGTTGAATCAACCAACAAACTGCATGGTTCCATCAGTAGACATGCCAAGTGATTGAAATAAATGGTGGCAATTTCAACAAGATTTGGCACTCAGCTTGTACAGTAAAGTATATATAAACAAAGGATTTATTGCCCTGGCCAGCTCGATCACCAGATTTGAATCCAATCGAGTCTAGTTAAGCTTGGACGGACTAAGAATTAGTCAAGGTGCAAATATGATCCATAAAAAGCTTAAAGCAAGAACTAGATACCATTTGGAGAAGAGCACTAACCAAAATCCGCAACAATCTTGTAAAATAAATGCAAAAAAGATGTGTTGCTTGCAAAAAAGCTTGTGAGGGATATTTTAAATACTAGCTTAGATGTTATTTTTGTTGCTTTAATTTTTTATAAATTGCAGGTTTTTTATTGATATTTTTTGTTATTATGTTTGATAATGTTTTTATTTACAGTTTTATGTTTTAGTATGCCATTCACGTGCAAGATTTAAAAAGAAATTTAGAAAGATTTACTGTGTTCAGGCAAATTTAGCAAGTTATTAACACAAACTATTTACATAACCAAAAGATTGTCTCTGTTGCAAGTGGCTAATTCTTTTCTGTGTTTTTCTGCTACTTTCAACAAAAACTGTTTCTGGCCTTCACTTTTTATTATCAATGAACTAAAATTCTGAATCAAACCAACCCCAAATTCAGCTACATCATTGACACCTGCTAAGTTAATTGCTAGCTTGAGGACTACCTGGAATGAATCAATATCCTTCCAACTCTAATCTAAAAAATTTAAAAACTGTAATCAATCCCAGCAGTGTTAAAGAAGCTGCTTGATAATATAATAAATAATAAAGTGTCGATACTTTTTCTGATATAATATTATTTTGTTTGAATGGTTTTTTAATTTATGAGATCAAATTCATCAATGAAATCTTTAGATAAGGGCTACTGGTATTTGATTCAACAGAAAAAGATTCTGTTTCATTATTTTCTGTTGAAACTAGTAAATGTGTAAATATTAGTTTACTTATCATTTCAAAATTCGATAAAATTTGACTTTCATGACAATCTTTAGATATCATCCTTCTGGAAGTTCTGAACCAATCACTCTGGAAATATCATAATTAAAAATATATTTAAAATAGTATATACATGATACTGTGAAGTGATTTTTGTATATAGTTTATAAATGACATTTTGGAGTGGATTATCTAATAAGATGGCCCTTTATGTTAAAAAAGTATTGTAAGATAATAATCATTAATTAAGTTATACAATGTTTAAAAATACATTTTTCAAATACTGGCAATATCCATGTCACCATTAATTCCGCAAAAACTAGAAAAAACTAGATTACTTTTTTGTAAATAATTTCATAAACAAACTATTTTCTGCCCTGTTTCATCTGTCTATTCAGAGAATATTCTCAGAGGCTAGTAACATTTTTGTTGAAAAAAGACCTATGTTGTAGCTCCAAAACTGGAGTGTAACTTTTATTTAAATCCTCACCTGGAATACAAAATTCTATTATATAAATCATATATCAATTTTTTGAATGTATATATTTTCTATCTTCAGTGTCTAGTTAATTACCATACATTTAATTTTATTAAATATTTTAATATTGAAATAATTATGTAACTAATTTTGATAGTTTCAGAAATATAGCAAACAAAATTATATTTTATTCATTTAGAACTTTGAAGTTTTATAGGTTTACCCATAGGTATACCCTTATGCAATTTTTAATGAAAAAATAATAAACTGTAATAGCAATCTCTTGGTATTCTCTGGCAAGTCACTTGGCAGTGGTGAAAAAAGTGGTGAAATGGTTTATAAAATATATTTTATAGATTCAAAAATTAAAAAATTAAGCCTTGTTTACTATTACACTATAAAGGTATATAAATACAAACGATGCAATATATCAAACAAATAAAATAGAGCCTTTTAGGACAATTGTTTAATAATTTAATTTACACAGGTCTTAAGAATTCAAGGTAAAAATATTGGGCATTCAAACTATAATTACTCTAAATCCGGTCAGAACTAGAATGAACTAAAAAACTACAAATTTTGGTACATCCCTAGTTCTCCTGTATTTTTATTTTGAATAATGATATTGAAAAATCCTTATCATCTTGTTCACTTTGACTTTGTTCCTCTTCTATTTTGGCAATCTTTTGTTTACAAGGTTTGCAGATTTTCTATTAATCATAATTTTTGACTCTTTTATTGTAACTATGCCAAAATTTTCTAAACATAATTTTTCAGAAACTTTATTTTGTTTTGTTTTTGAAATTAAAGAAATATATAATATAAATATATTATAATTATATAAGAAAATAATATTATATTATATAATAATAAAATATTTAAATTTTATAGCTACTTACTAGTAATTTTCTTTGTGTGCACATTGATTGAATGACAACAAGCTTTCTACCATATAGCATATATTTTCAAATATTTTGTATTGTCTTTCACATAATATTCCTAATTTTGATCATGCAACCTTACAGTGTATAGATATCGTAGTATATCAGGATATATCATGGTAGTGGTGTAGTGGTAGACTCACCTCATAAGCGAGAAGTTCCAAGTTCGATCCATACAAAGTCTCTGGTAGTAATACACTCAACTTACTTTTCAGTGCAGCAGCCTTGTTCATCAAGTGTCATGTTTCGAGGTTATTTAGTTAAGAGAGGGTTGTAACCACAACTAAAAGAAGCCTCCTCAACTGTAGTGGCTTTCATGGCATTGGGAAGATGAATTAAAATAATTAAAAACATTTTGTTGGCCTTTGCATGCCTTGAAGTCATTAAGTGAAAAGATCACATTTTAATAAGATAATTTATCATAAGATTTAAACCATAAGAAGAAAGTATTTCTTAAAACAAATAAATAAATTCTTCTTTCCTTCTTAGTTTTTAGTGTTAAAAAAAAAAAGTTTTTAATATCAAAAAAGTTTAAGCCTTTTTAGATTTCTTTTTTAGCATGATGTTATGCACTGGTAGATATTGTTACTTTTTATTCATATATATATCCATTTGTTGATTTGCCAAAATTCTAATAAAATTTTACCAATTAATTATAATTACCAAAAATTAATAAACAAATCCACATCAGTATCACACTTGGTCAGTTTATATATATAAAAAAAACAAAACAATTTGTGTATTTCAGTAGTTGAGATCATAAATTTTCATATCTATTTTTGTAAGACTTAAATATAACATAATTATTTTTTTTTCTAAAAAGTCTATAAACCAATTTTATACTTAATCTAAATTCTACTAGTTTTTTCAATAATCTATTGAAAAAGTGAAACATCTTTGAAAATTATATTTCTATAAGATTCTGTTGTTCTGTTATTTTTTTAATACTTTTATTACTTATCGTCTTACTTGTCACAAAAAATTAGATTTTTTGTGACAAGTAAGACTATAAAATAATAAAAGTATTAAAAGAAAAAAAAATTGCTTTATTAACTTTTAAGTAGGGTGACCATTGTCCCAGTTTTTATGTAGGAGACCACAGCGCTAAACTATTTAAAATTAATTAAGCACTGCGGTCTCCAATGTAACCGGGACAACGGTCACCCTACTTTTAAGCATATAGAATTCATATTTCATATTTTAAGTACATTTATTGGATTCTGAATAAAAAATGAATTGCAAATTTTAATTTTAAAATTTTTGCCTTTTTTGTTATTTCTCATCTTATTAAAGAAAACATATCTTCGAAATGTTATGAAAAATGGGTTGATTTGGTAAACCAGGTCAATATTAAAATTGAAATGTCTAGGGGAACTATTCAAAATTCTGGCTAAAAGTTTTTGCATGCATTTTTCTGCCTAAACAGCCTAAGAAAATATTTTTTAAAAATATGGAGACTAAAGGATAGTGAAATGGCCTAAATTTTGGACGATTTGATGTGGAATTAGCCTTTTTTTTTTCCTTCTGTGCTTGTTGTGTGAGCTTTTTGCAGTTCACTTTAATGTGTGATTTCTTTGCTTCTTATTATTAAAAAATAAAGTTTAATAAAATTTTATTTTTTAGAAATTTTTTACAGTTTACATGGTTTACAGGTGTAATTCCAAGGGTTTGTAAAAAACCATATATTGGATTATGGACAAGGGCATGTAAAAAACCATAAAATTTCAGAAACCAATTGAAATTTTTTGGTTTTTTACAAGTTTTTATGGCCACCATGTATATATAAAATTACACAATGAAAGTATACCTTTTGTTTTCAAATTAAAACTTTATTTTTTTTTAAACTGAGAATATAATATTATATAATATTATTTACATTATAAATAATTAACTTACTATAAGAGGGATATAGACATCTTCATGCCATTTCTGAAGTAGTAATTCTGATTTACTTTTTTTCAACATAAGTTCTGTTGACAGCATTTTATCTAGTTCCTTAAAACAGTTTACAAATGTAAGTCTTAACGTTATATTTATTAAATACAAATAATATCAAGATTATGTTGAGGGAAAGATTTTATGGTATAGTCTAAAACTAAGTTTACTGCAAAGTAATTTTATTTCAAAACACTTTTTAATAACTGACTATAATTAAGAAGTTTACACTGATTTAATGAGATTAGGTATCCCCTAGAAAAATAGGAAGAACACAAAAAAAAACATTCAAAAATCAATTTGCTTTTATTTTTTATCCCTATGACAAAATAAAAAAATATGACTTTATGAAATTAAATTAATACAACTAAATGATTAAAAAACATGATATGATTTATTATTCATATAACTATTTATGATACAACTTGCTTATTATATTATATATCTTTTTATACATAATTTATCTATAAACTTACATTTTGTAGCCTTCTTTCCTCCTCAAAATGTTTAGTCAGTGTATTGATAACATCTGAATGTTCAAGATTCATTTCCTTAATTACAAAACAAATAAACAAGTAAAACAGTATAACTAAAAAATTTTATTATTAAAATTTATAATAATAATGTCAACTTATTAGGCTTCTTGTATTCTGAAAAGTTAAATCAAAAGTATTTTAATTAAATTCTTTTTAAAGAAGATAACATGTCAATTAAAATATAATCTTAAAAAAAATTAATAACTTCTTTATTTAAAACAAATTACTTAAACACAAATTTTTTTAAATAGAAAAAAAACACAACAACAACAAAAAAAACAAATTCTCTAAAATTATTCTCTTGTCAATGTCAATTTAAACTGAGTTTTGAAAAGATTGATGGTTCCTAAATTTTTCTCTGGAAATCTTTTTTTTTTTTAAACTGTGTGTTTTATACAATAACTTTCTGTTTGATTCAATAACTGTCTGTTTTTTTGCTCAACTTAAAAAAAATTTTGATTTTAAAATTAATAACTTTTTAAAAAATTTTTTAATTTTGTTCAAAATAAGAGTGAACACAAAAGTTTGATGGCATTGTGACCACACCATAAAATGATTTTCATACCTAGTTATAAGACAATTTTTGATAATAACAAAAACAGTTCATGGTTAAACCATTGGGATAGTTACAGTTAAAGGATAGGTAAACATTGAAGTACCAGCTGATACAAATGTTTCTTCTTTGTTGCTAATTTGACATCCAAAAGTTAGGGTAAAGGATTTATTGAATTTCATTTAATTTCTTATCTGCAACATATCTAAAGGAAACAATTTTAAGAATTTATTATCACTAAATGGTATAGTAATATTAAAAACTCTTGCAACTGCAACTTTATCGCATATTAACTTAACGCACTACAAATTTTAAAAGTACATGAAAATTGAAAATTGTTTATTTATTCACAGCTGCCTAAACAAAAAGTTGCCTCCTATATTTAATAAATGGTTTACTCTACGCAGTTCAATCAGCTGTCAACTTACAAGAAATTCTTGTAGAGGCGCACTGAGTGTGCCAACATATAATACAGAAATCTATGGTAAACATTCCTTTAAATACTCTGCATTAATGGACTGGAATCAAATTCAAAATAAATTAAAGTTATTCCCTTTTAACAAAGTTAAAAAATATGTCCTCAAAACCAAATTAAAATACTACTTGCTACATCAAGATAAATAGAAACAACAGCAGTATCACTGGTGATAAATAATATATCACCGTAAAAAATGTATAAGTTATTCATATGAATGTTAACTAATTTCAACCTTCTGTGTGTGTATTATCTATTTTATTTTATTTTTTTTGTTTTGTTTTTGTTTTATTTGTTTATGGTCGCTCTCCTCGATTTAGCCCAGCTATATGAGAGTGAACCATCCAGAATGTAGACTGTATATATACATTTTTTATAACTTGTAACATTCTTATGAAAAACATCTATATTTCTAGTAAATATATTGCTTTTGTTGTTGTTGTTGTTGTTATCATATATTTAATTAAAAAAAAAAAAAAAATTATTGCATGATACATCGTAGCCTGAAATAATTCAGGTTTTAAACTTTTTTAAATTACATTTTTCCCGCATCACATGTACTCCCCATGGCCAACAAGATCCACTACAATTGAGTTTAATTATTATTAAAACTTAAATGTTTACTTTTATCAAAAAAATAATTTGCATTAAAACTCTTCTTGTGTTAAAACCTGCTTTATTAAGTTAACATTATTATGATCTGTTAGTCTTACAATATTTAATTTTGAGATATTTTTTCATCTCATTTCACTATAATTCTAAGTTTAATGCTTTTTTTTGTCAAAAAATGGCACCTCAATTAGTATTTTTTGGTAACAAAAAAAAACTAAACATGTCAAAATAAAATAGAAACTTAAAAAAAATATTTTTTTAAGCTAATTCCGAAATGTTAGAAAAATTCCCTATTTAGTTCCCTAATTAGTGATAATAATTAACTTTTATTATAGCCCTAACCTCGACATTTGTCCAAAAAAAAATTTAAAAAGTAAGAAACAATTAATACAAATAATAAATTAACATTTAAATATATCATTTATTCTTTTCCAAAATCTGAAATAGTATTTAAGGAATAAATAAAAATATAAAACTACCTTAACTGTTTTGAAAAAGAAAAAATTAAGTGAGTATTAGGTAAGCACTAAATGTAAACACTTATACGTCAATCTGTTACTTCGTTACCGTAAACAAATATGGCAAAACGGAATTGCAATTGTAACATTAACACTCAGATAAATGTACTTCTTCAAAAATGTTTAATAGAAACTGGGAATGTAGAGCATTGTGCAATATTTAGAAGAAAAGATTTAAAACTTTTGGCGCAATCTTCTTCTTTTTTAGTAAGTTTTTTGTGCTGACAAATTTTTTGCAGTAGTATTATTTGGAAAATATACGTTGTAAGTTGAGTGACAACATTTTGGGTTTCGTAATTGTTCCGATCGCCGCAATTTCGGCATTCTCATCCAACACAAATATAAACTTGCATGAGTTTAACAGTTTATTTTGCGACTTATATTAAAGTTACCTGTGACTAATAACGCCCCCTAAATATATAACACTTTTGACTTTTATTTTATGTTAAAGTTCAGCCGGACATATCAGGACAGTAGGCCATAATGGGATAGTTATTCCGAAAGCCTTATATCCCATTATATCTAACTTTAGAAATGCAGAAATGCATTAAAAATACCAAATTGCATCAGCAAAACACCTCACCACAGCAATGTTTATGTTTTAAAAAAGTGCACACGCCCAATTTAAGTTTTTCAGCAAGGTATTATTATAGTGATCACAAAAAAGTGTTTTACAAAATTTGGAAAACATATCCTATCAGTTAAGAGTGTTTTTTTCATTTTAAAATTAAATAATTAAATAATTTTAAAATAAGTAAACAATTATATTTGTAAATCTATTTACAAATATAATTCATAAATACATAAATATAAATCAAGAAGAATTATATTTATGCATATATATATATATATATATATATATATATATTCAACATAGGGTGACACGAATACCGCATCCAATAAAAGACTTTAATTTTGAACTCAGATGCAAAAAATTTAATATCACTTCATTAGATGGTGACGTGAACATGGCAACATGGTTCAGCAATATAAAATATTACAAAACATTAATAATATATAATGGATTAAACCATTATATATTATTAATGTTTTGTAATAATAACTATTCTAGATCATGCTTATCAAACTTGATCACAACTAAGACAGGAAATAATAATAAGTTATCAGCCTTTTTTAATAAGAAGTTGAATGCTAAAGATGTAAAGCTTTTGATTGAAGAAAATTCAATCAAAATTCAAGATTTTGCTTGACAATATGGACAACTAATTAGCAAAACTGCCACAGGGCGTCATCTACTGTTGACGTGCTCGTGTTGACGTGATTTTCATACTACTACTATTAAAACCATCCAAAAAAATGTCTACAACTATATGTAATCAGTGCTTTCAATCCATTGATTCATTACGAGGTCATACTTGCACAAAGGTTTTTGGTTCAACAAACCTTCGTCAAATGATTGAGAACTCCTTGAATCAAGAAGCGGGAGAAAAATTAGCTGCAGATCAAATTAGAGAAAAGTTTGAAGAATCGTTTAAAATTTCAAAAAGATCAATAAAATTCTACTGCAGAATAGAGTCACAAAGGTTTGTGGCCATTGAGGTTGATAGAAAGTTGTATGATGAAAGTATTGTTGATGGTGGTGGACGTTTCTTTAAGCTTGGAATTGATACTATTGATGTGGCAAGTTATTTTAGTGATGATATCACCAAGAGATCAAACTATTCCAAAGGCATTTGTCTGAACCTGTAAAAAAAAAGTCCATTGATTAGACATTACTCATAGGAATAGTCCCAAATATTCAGGAGAGTTATGAAAACTGTGCTGTCTTTTTCAAAATTGTTGACTTTAGAAATATTCAGTTTAATCTTGCTTGGAAACAAGGATGTAATTCTGACTCATCACTGAAAGAACTTTATAATTTCAAGAATAAACCACTTCTGCCAGGAGATGATGAAACTGAATTTATGGAAGTATACAATATACCCAAACATCTCTATATCAAAAAGATGGGGACAAGAAAAATGGGAAATCTTTTCAGAAAGGAATTGCCTTGTCAAACAAAAACTTCACGTTGGAGAGTTTGAAAGAAACCAGTGTAAGAAATTGATGAGATTAACAAATAAGCTTCGAGATGCTCTTCCTGAAGATCTTGGGAGATTTTGTGATGCCTTTGATGCTTTTGACACTGTGGCTTACTCATTTTTTAGCAAGATACTCAGTATTGATTTTGAAAAAGCAATAGATAATTTTTTTGATATTTTTATTACTTTGGAGATCAAAACAAAGATACCAATTTCCATATATTATTTTGCCATTTGAAGGAGTTTTGTAAAAATAATGGATACGGACTGAGAATAGGCAGGAGAAACTATTTACTTGAGATTCAGTGAGTTTTCCAGATACAAACTTCCAAATGATTTCCACAAAGAGACATACAAAAACGATCGATTACGTGTTGTACTTTCAAACAACGCGGATAGAATTTGAGCTAAAATATTTTATTATTGATTTTGATAGGATTCTTTAATTTAATGATCTGAAATAAAATATATTTTATTTTAAATAATGGTATTTATTAAAGAGTTAGCTTACTAGCTACTAGTCTATGCCTTAAATAAGTTCTTCTACGAACTTCGTTCTAAACCTGTTGTTTTTCTGTATATGTTAATGAGATAAAAACACACTTTTTTATATCACAATAAACACCATTTTTATTCAGGGCACACTTTTCAAATTTTGTGAGATACCTTTTTGTGTCCACTATAATCATAGCTTACTAGAAAAATTTAATTTAGGCGTGTGCACTTTTTTGAAACATAAATACTGCTATGAGGAGGTGTGGTAAGTTTGCGAAAAAACAAAGTTTGCGTTTTTTCTTAAGCGATACAACGACAAAAGATTTATTTTGAACTATTGCAAATTTTTTATCCTCTTTAAGAATCTGGTTTTAAAAAAGTTTTTGGTAATAATAATTCTAAATAATATCGTAATATTATTTAGAATTATTATTAGTTTTATCAGGACAACAACTCTAAGTAATACCCGTATTATCGGGACAACAAGTTATTTAAAAGTTACGATCTAAACGTATTTTAAATGTCTTTTAAACGTCTTTTAAACATTAATGTTTAAAAGACGTTAAAAAGACGTTTAAAACACATTTAGAACGTAACTTTTAAAAACAAATGCCCGTCGGGTTAATAGTGTTTAATGTAAACTAAGAAGGTAAGAAATTATATAAGAAAAATCAATCATCCAAAATGCGATGAAATGCAGCTTTAGCTGTGAATAAAAAGAAACTTAGAACTTCAAAAGCTGCTGATACAGATGGCATATCTAAGTTTGCTCTACATTGGCGTATTGCTAATAAGCCAGCTCATCAAAAATGTTGCCAAATAGATTCAGGATATTTTTTGTGTGGTTTATGTGGTCCATAAAATTTTTTGTTTAATTTCAAATTTAGTAATAGTTACCAATTTAATAATAAATAAGTTAGAGTATTATTATGTTAAACCATAAAAAAAAAAGTTTCTTTTTTTCTGGTGTATGGGTGAATGGGCGTGTAGTTTCTATGGGTATGTTTTTGAGAGTTTAATGTCTGAACATATTTAGACGATTGACAGCCTTCATTTTTCATCATATTTAAAGCTTTACCATTGAAAAATAACTGCTGCATTTTAACTGTCCCGTTTTACCTCACCCACTTGCAAAATGTAAAAGTTTTGCTGGTCTAGAGTTTCGTTACTTTGATTGTCGTAACTTATTTTTTTAAATTTTTTTTTTTTTTTTTTCAATTTTCTTATATCAATGAAATTTAGCAAGTTTTAAAAAAACAGTATTAACTATGATTAGTTCATCCGCAACTAACATTTGTTTCTTAAGTGTCCCTATATGCCCCGCTCTTCCCTATTTTCTACTTTAACACGACAAAAAATTTTTTTTGCAATATTTTTCTTAATTTAATTTTTATTTAAACCACTAATAACTTAGAAATATCGTTAGCTAAAGTTTAAATAAAAATAACTTGAAAGATTTGTCATCCAAAATGATACACGGTGTTATTTTTTAACTTGAATTTATATCGATCATTTTGTTAACTTTTTAGAATTCCACTATTACGTAAATATTACTTTTTCCCTCAAAACAAACATTGACCAAATCTTTTTTAAATATAATCATTTATATTATTGGCAAATTAAAGGACTTGAAAATCTTTTTTTTATTTTTATTACTTTTTTTTTGTAGTCGGTAAAACTTGTAAGGCACCTACCTCCTACCCCCACTTATCAATTGTTCACGCCGGCTTTGTTTATACCCTGATATTTTTTATTGTGTTGATTAAAAATTTTTAATACCTTTTAATAGAATAATATTTTAAATAAAATGAATAGATAGGCTATGATTAGATGGCAATGTAAGAAATAGGAATGGTTAAGCCTACTCAATATTTTGATTTTGTTGTTAAGTATAGAAAACAGAATATAGTAAATATAGAAATTAAAGTTTTAGACAACCACATTTATATTGACACATCTTTTGCGATACGCATCATCTTAGTTTTTGTTGCTTTTTTCTTGTATATTTTCAATACCTTAAATATCGGAAAAACATTTCTTATTTATTCTAATAATAATATATTATTGAAATAATATTCCAATATTCTTATTATTTAAAAAATATTTCAATGCCTAAAGGTTTCATTAAAAGCTATGTTGTATAATTTGGTTTTGAAGTAAAGGCATAGCTGAGAAATGACAATATATTATTTAAAAACTATTTCTGACATTGAAAGATAATTTTAAACATTTTATATAAAAAATATGGCATCACCACAAATATAAAATCCTTTATAAAAACAAAACCAAAAATATTGGTACGGTTATTCTGTCAAAACAAATTCTAAAACGAAATGGTTGAAATGTTTAATGAAACAACACTACACGTATTTGTTATGACTGGCAAAATAGACATATTTAAAATACCAAAAGTTACATTAAAAACAATTTTCTCTACAAAATTAAAGTGGAACAAACGCACAAGATCACAAGGTTAAAGCTAATAAGATGTATGCAAACAAGGTTAAAGCAAATGAGATGTTTAGGCTGGCTTTTTAGCTTAACGATATTGCTTTCCAACTAGTATAATTAAGTTATGACCATCCAAAGTTTAAACTTGATGTCACCTGAAAATATTTGTCCGAAAAGATTCTAACAATCTGTCACCTGACAACAACCTAAAAACAATCTAATGTCACCTGACAACATTTGTCCGAAAATATTTATTAAACTTTAGTACAAATACAATCAATGCA